CTTGATTTCTTAGTATTTGCTAAAACAGCTGGTGACAGGATGGCCCTATACATATAACAAAAATTTTGCTCTGTCATATTTAGAGCAAGGATCATACTTTTCCTATTTAGTCTCCACAATACCTTTACTTGGTATGTATTACTATTCCTATTTTACAGATGCAAAAGCTGAAATCCAGTTACATGGCTTGCTCAGAATTAATCAATTAGGGACATAACACAGCCAGAATTTTTAACCCAAACCTGTCAAACTCCTGGCCTGCATTGCAGGATTTGATACTTAGTTATGGTGGAAACCTTAAAAAATTCCTTTATAGAAACCTGAAGAATCTCTCCTTGATGGGAAGAGAATGTATGTATCAATGTAATTGCAATAGATCACTGTAATACTTAAAAGTATGGGCTAATTGAGGAGCTGGAGAGGCAGCTCAGATACATGGGAACCTTTTTCATCTTAAACAAAGTTTACAAAACAACGAAATGTTGTCACTTTGATTTAGGCATTTAAATGTGACTCTGCACCTAGTAGATTCATATTAATATTTCAATGATAAATAAAATGCACTTACTTCAAAAAGCTGTTTTAGTCCAATAAGAACTAAACTTTCAACCATGGCTGATGATAATGGCTGACACTAATTGAGCACTTGCTATAAGCCAGACACTACTCTAAGCACGTTTTCCTGTATTACCTCATTATCTTACCATGTATAGTCAGCACTATAATTATACTCATATCACAGATGAGACAATTGAGATTCAAACATTTTGAGTGGCTTGTCAAAGATCTGACAGCTGCAAAGTTGCAGAGCTGAGATTTCAATCTAGGTCTTACCTTAAATTCATACTATCAGTATAACTACTTTTCAGGAAAGCTAGAAAAATCCAAATCCATCCACAATGTTCTTCTCAAAGAACACAACGTAGCAGGCATTTGCAGGATTCATTCATTTAGCAAAGAAGCTAGTAGCTAAATAACTGTTGTTACATTTCTTAGTTAACAGATACATCTAGATAACACTGGTTATCTTTGCCCTCACTTTGACTTTCCTCATGGTCAAAACCATGCCACATGGGCAACTCTTTCACTGTGTCTTTGCCTGATAATGAAGCATGCTGGCCAAGTCCTGAGATACTTGGAATGGTACAAAAATCACATGTCTTGCAGTCTGTGAAATGAAACAGAACAAAATCTGATGGGTCCCTTTGCCAGCCAGATGAAATGCTAACGCCTTAGCACAGAGTTCAAGAGTCTACAAAGTCTTTTCTGGATACGTCTGTGAAGGTGTTTCTGGAAGATATTAACATTGGAATTTATAAAGTAAAGCAGATTCCCCTCCCCAGTGTGGGTGAGCCTCATCCAATCTGATGTTGTTGAATGCCTGAATAGAACAAAAAGGTGGAGGAATGGTGAAATAACTCTACCTGACTGCTTGAGCTGAAAAATCTATCTTCTCCTACCCTTGGTTGCTCCTGGTTCGCAGAGCTTCAGTCCTGGACTGAAATCAATATCATCAGATCTCCATCTCTCAGGTCTTCAAACTACTTGTACATGGCTGTGATAGTTAATTTTGGGTGCCAACTTGATTGGAATGAAGGATGCAAAGTATTGTTATTGGGTGTGTATGTGAGGGTGTTGCCAGAGGAGATTAACATTTGAGTCAGTGGACTGGGCGAGGCAGACTCACCCTCAATCTGGGTGGACACCATCTAATTAGTTGCCAGTGAGGTTAGGGTAAAAGTAGGCAGAGGAACATGGAAGGATTAGACTGGCTTAGTCTTCTGGCCTTCATCTTTCTCCTGTACTGGATGCTTCCTGCCCTCGAACATCAGACTCCAATTTACTCAGCTTTGAAATTCTTGGATCTTAGACCCCAGACTGAAGGCTGCACTGTTGGTTTCCCTACTTTCAAGATTTTGGGATTCTGACTGGATTCCTTGCTCCTCAGCTTGCAGATGGCCTCTTGTGGGACTTCACCTTTTTATTGTATGACTCAATACTCTTTAATAAACTGTCCTATATACAAATAAAGGGTTCTCTATATAGAGTATATATATATATATATATATATATATACACACACACACACATATTGTCCTTGATAAATTAGTAAATGTTATTAATTTTATTAAATCTTAACCCATGAGTACATCTTTTTAATATTTTAATATTCTTTGTTGTAAAGATGGAAACTATGCATAATGCATTTGTCATGTACTGAAGAAAGACGGTTGCCTTGAGGAGATGCATCTGTGTAATTGACTAGCCACTTTTTTACATGAAACATCGTTTTTATGTGAAAGAAGTACTGGCAAATATATGATTATGCAGCCTTGGGTATTTTTCAGACATTTTCTCAAAAATGAAATAAGTGAGCTTGTCAATTATAGGAAAACAACTGATGATATTTTACCAATGATACAATTTTTGCCTTCAAGTGAAAATCAGAATTTTGAAACACTTTCGTCTGCAACTGTGAACCTGATAAGTTTCCAGTACAAAATACTTTTCTGATGAGATTGGAAATGATATTGATGCCTGTGATTATGATATTGTATAATGTAATGCGTCAACATTTGGAGGATCTGTATAACTCATTATATCAACGTTTTTCAGATGACCAAAGCATGATGTTACAAAGTCATGCTTGGGTAAAAGATTCATTCAGAGTGCAAGATAGAACAATGGATTTTAAAGTATGAGTGTAAAATTTTATTGATATGGTTGCAGATTTTATATTGCAGCTAATTCTTTGGAAATGACCACTCACTGAATTTTGCTGTAGTATCAAAGAGTATCCACAATTATCTGAGATGGCTATTAAATTAACTCCTCCCTTTCCAATGATGCATCTTTGCAAAGCTGGATTTTTTTCATGTCCCTAAACCCAAACATGTCACAACACAGTGAATGCAGACGGAGAGATGAGAACCCAGCTTTCTTCTATGTAGCCAGACAGTAAAGCGATGTGCAAAAATGTAAACTAATGTCACTTTTCTTACTATTTTTTTTAAAAACACGGCTAGTTTCATAAAATGTTAACGTATAATGGGCTTATTATTGTTTATAATTGAATTAGTAAGAAAATGTTTTTAAAATCTTAGCTTTAAATATTGGTATCATCCATATAAATAAAATCTTTGGAGGGTTCTCAATAATTTTTAAGAGCATAAAGGGATTTTGAACCCAACAATTTACGAATCACCACTGTTTGCATAAAAAATGTCTTACCACAGCTCCAAAGCTCCTTTTGACATGGCTTCTACCTCTCTCTCTCCAACATCATATTGTGCTAATGTCTCTGTCTCTTACCATGATTCAGTCTTCAAACTTCTGTTTCCTTGTGCCCAGGATCTGTGCATGCGCTAACCCATTTTACTATAACTGTCTGTCTTTT